CACCCCCCACCTACTTTGAGCGGCCCTAAGAGGCCTTCTTGCCCTAAGAGGCCTTCTGGCCCTCCGACGGCCCAGGAGGCCCCTCACGATGGCCCGAGAGGCCCATCATGTTCCAAGACGCGCCACTAGGCACCTCGCACCTTCGTTTATGTTGGGTTGTTTTTTTCGCCAGTGATGGCGTTCCAATCATAAGAAACGCGTATAAGAAGCGTAGAGACCGTAAGTACTAGTGGACCCTGATATTGGAATGCCTCCAAGACCCAATGCAAGATAGCGTCAGAAGGCTCATCAACTACAAGGGGCACTCCAAGACGGCCCAAGTCGCTTCCAATATGCTCCAAGGGGTCTCGCTGGGTGCCCTCCAGGTGCGCCAAGCAAGGACCCAAGGGTCTCAACAAGGGCCCACATAGTCTGAGGGGAAACGCGGACGATCGAGCTCAGACAACGCACCGCAACAGGTCATTCCGAGCTCTCGCAACACGCGGATCCGCAGTCCGAGTCCGACAGTCCTCCGCGAGGTGTGTTGCGTGAGCTGGATTGTCCTGTCGCGGCGCACGTTCGGAGCGTAATCGGCCCTCTTGGTGAAGCTCTTCTCGACCGCGGTTCAAACTCGCACCAGCATCTGCGCAAGGTCTAGGCGCTGGCAAAGTAATACCGAAGTGAGCGATCGCCAGCTTGGAAGAGGCAACTGATGTGCAATCCTACAACTACAACCTCCTGCAAGCTCAAATTGGATTCGATTTCTAAGATTTTTGGCGCACCACCCGTTCCGAAACTCATCGTTTTGAAACTCATCAAAACTCATCGAAAACCTCATCGTTCTATTTTCGATGACTTTGCCATCTGCGATAGGGGTGCGCCAAAATTGAAACTCATCGATCCGAAACGCACCGGTAGACTCATCGTGTTTTCCTCCGTCCGAGCAGTGATTCCTGGAAAAGTCGCTGCGATCCCAAGCAAAACAGACCTGACAGCGGAATAGGTTGCCGAAGTTGCCGATCGGCCTAGTCATCTTGATTCTGGGCACTGTGCATGCGCGAAATGACTTCGCATTTCTTTTGCAAGCTCGAAACGACAGGGTCAAGCTTCTCAGACGCGTCCCTAACAGATGATACCCACGTAGCCCTCTCGAACGTCTTCTTATGATCCCGCGGGCTGATGCCAGTGAGCATCGGGCGAATGAACTCATTAGAGGCAGCTTTTTTTCACCGAGGCCTGAAGGTCCTGCAGCTCCTTCAGTTTCGGGTTGCCCTCGCCGAGCCACTTCCACTTGA